CAACGACTACACCAACGGGAGAAAGGAGGGGGTTACTACAGCTACGTTCCTTGTGATGTAAATTAAGCGATAGTCTATTTTGCCAGATTAGGCAACTTCTAGCACTAACAGCTGTTTTAGGTTTGCTGGAGAAAACTCGTATAGGCAGCATCGGTAAGGATTATTCCAGTTTGTCGTCTTAGAGGTTCAAGAACAGAAGCATAGAGGTTAATCAAATTACCAATAAATATTGAGCTAGAAAAAGTATATCAAGATAGCTTGGTTGGAGGGGCAGGATATTTTCTTGAAAGGCCCGCAGATGATATTTATCGGCATAAATGTGTCCTTTCAGACAAAGAAGACAAATGAGGAGATAAGCATGATCGCAAATAACATCCAAAGACAGTTGTTTAAAACACACTGGGCGCCAAACTCAGGCTCTAGGTGCAGAGGCTGGCCCAATAAAAAGGACATAAGAGACGAAGTAAGAAATACAATACAAGCGATCTTTATGTAGTTCATCCGGGAGATAATTTTCTGAACAGTTCCTTACAAGCAAACTAATGGAACAAAGTAGACAGACTAGCCGCAGGAAACACCATTCTCTTGCTTCCAGTGGCACACATTCTTAGTTACCTGCTGCGTCTATGCATAACACCTACTAACTGGTCCTATAATTGTAATTTGCTAGTTTCCAAAAGTCATCTATCTCCAGCCTTCTTAGCTTAAAATCGACGTCGGCAGGCAGTGGGAACCGCAAGTAACTTTTTTTCTGTCCATGCATTCGCATACACTTTTTCCGTACTTCTCGCCTGTTCCTTCTTAAGAACGCCGTATACGTGTTACGCCCGCGAGTCCTAGGAGCAAAATGACGTTTTCCTCAGCTCAACATGTACAAGGTCTAAGAAGACAGTTATCCTTTTCCGAAGATTGTATAGTCAAAGAGGGGTGATGCCTGCTTACATTTTTACCTGTCATCTCAATAAAAAAAAACAGATTTCGGAAGGGAAAAACGAGGAAGAAGTGAGGCGTACCTTTTGGTTTGCACGAGAGGCCAGGTGGACGGCCCATCTGCGCATAACTTCATCTGCATCTGCCTTCTCCAGTGCACACTAAAAGAAAGCAACACACGTTGTTTACTGTGCGCAGAGTGGATGGACGCACACAGTTACCACGACTGGTTGTACATTCTGGGAGAGGGAAACGGTACTGTGATGCGCTCAAAATCCCATAAACTCAACTGGGCAGGGCTATTAGATTGCGGATAACATGAAAAAGGCGCAAATGCTTGGAGTTATTACAAAAGATAGATTAGCAGTAGAGGAAAGTCACAGACCAATGCCTCTGTAACGTCAAAACTCATGGATTTTAATAGAAGAGGTAAGATATTCTAGCAGAACCAATAACTCAGTAATATTTTTCAAAATAAAGTTAAAGCATGAGATCTTTTTCGCTAATTTGGTGTAAGTCTAGGCAACGGGTGCAGCGGCGGAGTGAACGAAAACCGGAAGCCTTCTTGCGAGTAGGAAAGCCGGGAGGCGAGTGCGAACATGCACTTCGGGCAAATAACAGAAACAAGACGTTAAGTCGAGATGACTGGCAGTCGTTTTGCGTCATGGAAGCGTCAAAATAGCCCGTACCCAAACTCGTGATTAAAAGTGTGTCAGTTGGATCTGAGACAGGGGCAGAAAGTGAAGATTTAAAAGCTCTATTACTTCCAGGAGAGGGCGTTGTACTTTGCATTGAGAGCACGTTTGAGGGGCGAACGTTGTAAAATGACGGAGCACTTGTTGCTCTCCCTGGTGAATAGGAACCAGTCGTAAGTTAACTGTTGTGGTGGATGCACTCCGCATGAACAGCATATATTAAAACAGACATGCTTAAGAGGGGAGGGAAGGCGAGACAGTGAGTTTTAGGAACACCATCGACCCAGCACTGACTGATGCAAACAGACCAGGCTTGAAGGAATACAGAATTTTCATCACATCGAATGATTGAAATGAGATCTGTGCATATAAGTATCTCAGCTGCCAACAAAGTTTGGCCGCGCTAAACCTCGCGAAGCCAACAGGGTTATTTGCCCAAAAAACATTGCTCAGTGTCTAAGAAGAAGTAGACGCGATCACTGTGAGAAGAACGGTATTAGCGTGACATTTCGTGTTTATGCCTCAGCCCATCATCACATGGGGATAATCTATACAGAGGGAGTTGCAGTATTTATGGTAAGCGGTCGCTATACTGCTGCATACCTATGAAAATCAATGGCGCCGCCCCTCCCCCCATCGAGGATATTTGCCGGCTGGTGTGATGATTGTTTGATGAGCGGCGCTCGCGTCTTTACCCGCCAAACTTTCATCATTCATGGTGGATTTGCATTTTGATCTGAAATTAATCAGCTACTGCGGTATAACCATTTACGATTCAGAAACCGCCGACAAAGAGTGAG